CCCAGGTATGGATGGAATGGACACGAGAGTTAGGAACATGAATGTAGATCAAAACATTTTCTCTTGTCTTTGTTTCTGTGCCTTAAGCAGCCTTGCTCCTTCCTGTCTTCTCTCTCTCTACACAGAAGGAGCGGGGTCGCGGGGAATGGGGGAGCTACCTTGAGCTGCTCTGCAATAGGGAAGGGGTTGGGACTGCACATTCTTAAGGCAGAAGTTAGCACCTTAAACCACTAGCCAGGATATCAGGAGCAAGAATAGCTTGCTTATAAGAAACCCCCCCCCCCAAAACCACATAGCTGGCACATGAAACTAGGACACTTTGCAAGATACCCGTGATCTGGGGTGAAACGCAGGTGACGCCACATTTAGCTACGTAGGGGGCTGAGATCCAAATAACCAATCAATATTATCTGTTATGCATGCATTATTAGGGGAAGGGCAAAGGGCTGAATGCAACCACCCCTTGACTACGAAAATTGCTGTAAGATTCTCATCAAGGCCCTTTGGTTAGCTTTTGAGCCGTGGTCCTTATCTTGGTACCAAAATAAAAGTATATTGTATCACACCTTGTGTCCGGTGTCTTATCGGCTTCGACACCAAGCAAGAGCCCAGTTTTGGGGATAACACTTCCCTACCACTAGAGACAGTCCAGTCCTCCCAAGTTTTGGGTGGTCTTCTGGAAAAAGAAGGTCCACTTCCCTATTTGCCTCTTTCTCAATTACTTTTCAGAATGATTTCAGGGCCTCTTTTCCATAAAGGCCACACAGGATATGGAGCAACACAAGAAGAAAATTTCAACAAAACAGCCTTTTCTGTTTGAAAATATAAATTGGAACGGTGCCCATGAAACGTAGAAATTCGGAAGCTGAACCTTTACGACATCAGCTTGTCTTGTGAATCAGTTCCTAGTCGTAAACATGAGGAAAGACTAAGTACAGTTTGAGAGGAGTGGGCTTAAAGCCAGCAAATAATCTTTATTTTTTTCCTGAGCTGGCTGAAGCAGAGCAGCCACTGGGGGAGTTTGGGTCAGGGGAAAAAACCATTTGACATATTTTGCCAAAAAATGGCAGGGACTTGTCCAGTTAAGTGCCCTGGAGTCAGAGCTGGCCTGGTGGCCTAAATATCAGGAAGCAGCAGCAAAATGCACCCTCCCTTTAAACATTATTTTTTCATTTTGTCAATTTTTTTCCTTGTGGACTCCTTATTGCTCTCTCAGCTTGGTTGTTTCCTTGTAGACCCAACTAGGCAACCTCATCAGTACAAAGTCTTCTCTTTGCTTAATTCCAATGGCACAGTTTAATTTTTTTTCCAAAGCACCAGAGGGCAAGGCAAGAAACAATGGATGGAAATTAAGCAAGGAGAGAAGCAACATGGTATTAAGGAGAAACTTCCTAAGAGTGAGGACATATGATTTCACTAGATATATTCTCTAGCTCTCAATGATTGAAGGAAGAGGCATATTTATGGACGTCCCATCCCAAACCACATCGGATTGCCTATGCTACTAATGGTGCATGGTGGTATACACTACAGCCAAAATTCTGGCCATCTGGCTGCAGCGTTTGAGAGGCCTGCTTTAAGAGACAGAGGGATGGAGCCAGGGGTGGGATGCTACTGGTTATCCCTGGCTCTGTAGAACCAGTAGCTCTGAAGAGCAGCAGACACCGAACCAGTTCTGTGTCTGCTGCTGTTTGACCCACCCGCCCGGGCTCTTACCTGTCCTTTATTTCCTGCTTTTTCAACCTCAGCTGCTTCGCACGGCACAGCTGAGGTTGAAAAAGCAGGGGAAAAGTGGCTTTTCAAATGCTGTGCACCCATGTGCACAGCACTTTTCAGCTGTCTGGGAGGCACAGCTTAAGGTTTTTTACACGTGTGCGCAGCATGCAGTCACCGAACCAGTATTAACACCGGTTGAATCCAGGATTCAAAATTTTTAACAACCGGTTCTGTGGGCATGGCTTAGGTGGTGGGCGTAGCTCGGTGGTCGTGACTGGGTGGACATGGCTTGGTGGTCATGTTATTGGCTGGGTGTGGCCAACTCAATATCACTCACATTGAGGCACGCATCTCCTCGCCTGGCCTCTCATGACTGTGGGGATGCTGCAACAGTCGTAAGTGTGAAAAATGGTCATAAGTCACTTTTTTCAGTGCCATCGTAACTTTGAATGGTCACTCCACACAAGCAAAGTACCAGCAAAGGAGGGGGAAAAAACTCCAGAGAAGTTCCTGAGACAGGAAGTCTAGTCCTGCCAAGAATGTAATAAGGGTTAACGGAGAGGCAGTTTCTATAAGCAACACCAGAATGTTACCTTCCTGCCTTCCTTACAGGATTAGGCCAGTAATTTCTTCTAACAACCAGTTCTCCGAGCTGCTTAGAATGGTAACAACTGGTTCTAGCGAATAGGTGCGAACCGGTAGAATCCAACCCCTGGATGGAGGGATTTCTTCAAAAGGAAAGTTGAGATTTAGGGACCAAATGTCTGTGAGACACAAAGGAATCACTTTCTTGGGTGATCACAATGCCAGTTACTCACTGAGAAAATGAGTCAGAGAAACTGTGAGGGAGAAATCGGGCTGAAGAAACCGGGACTTCCCTTCCCAACTCAGGGTGCAGGGTTCCTTTGTCTTCCTCATCTCAGTGACTCAGCCTGGAAAATGGGTGTACGAAGGAGTATTTTTGTCAGGCTGTGGAAACTTTCTTTACATCCAATTTCTATTCCCTCTGTTGGGGAGATTCATCTAATCTCCAATCAAAAATCAAGTGGCAGTCGTGACTAGGAAGGCCTTAGCACAGCTTCATGTTGTGCATCAGTTGTACCTCTTCCTAGACTGGGAATGTCTACTCAGTTCCAGACTGGACTACTGTAATGCATTCTACACGAGGCTGCTGTAGGAGATGAGCAGGCTAAGCCTGAGGGAGGAGTCAAACATGTCATCAGCCTCGAGTCCAATGATGGGATTCAAATTTTTTTACTACCGGTTCTGTGGGCGTGGCTTGGGACTCAATGGGAGGCGGAGAATAGATGGGGTTGGAGGGGCCAGTCAGAGGTGGTATTGGTCAATTCTCCCAACTACTCAAAATTTCTGCTACCGGTTCTCCAGAACCTGTCAGAACCTGCTGAATGCCACCTCTGCTCAAGTCCCTTTGCACCCACAAGGTATCTAAGTTCACCCTATCTTATTTACCACCAATTTGCTTTGTAATTCTTGTAGAGAGTTTAAGCTTGCAATAAAGCCTTACATTCTTTTAGACTGCCTGGATTTCCTGATTTTGACAGCTGCCCTGGAAGAATATCTGGAAACTTCAAGGGTCAAGTCAAAGTTTAACCTTCACAGCCCTTCTTCATAGCCGGGAACCACCTTAATTCCAGCAGAGAGAGAATACTATGGGTTCCATCTGTGAGATGCCTACAATTGATGGGTCCTAGAAGGTGAGCCATGTTCTCTGCCAAGTACCCATCTAATGGAACATTCTCCTAAAACGGAACAGAGCTCTGTTGTAATGACAAGGCAGTCTAGTTGTTTGATCATGATCAACTGAATCATGATGAACTTTATTGGAGTCTAGTCTTGCATTTATACACATTTTTAGTAATCCTCCAACATTGGTTAACTTTGGTTACTGCTTAACTTTCGTTACTGTTTAGCATAATAGTAATTAACACAATTAATTATCTCTAGTTAAAGTCTAACATATGTTTACTTCCTCTCTCTAATCCTCCTTTACATTAGTGAGTTTCTTTGCCTGAGTTGTAACTGCTTGTAAACATTCTTTATCTGAGGTTTGCCATCCAAGATAAGAACATTCCTGCAATTACAACTCTACAGAGCTCCATCCTGGTTAATGTTCAGGAGGTCCCTCAAAACATGGTTATGTCCCCAGGCTTAGAGGTCCTAGGGAAGCGATTACAATTTAGTGATTCTCCTATTGTTGGTGGTGCCTGGATATTCCTCTCTGTATTTGTGGTTTGTGTATTTTAATGTTTTAATGTTTTTAAATTTTAATAGCAAATCTCTATATTTTTTCAGTGACCGTGTTTAGTTAGAATAATTGCTTTTATATTAGAATAGAGCTGGAAGGGACCTTGGAGGTCTTCTAGTCCAGCCCCCTGCTCAAGCAGGAGAACCTAGACCATTTCAGATAAGTGACTGTCTACTCTAGTCTCTTCTTAAAAGCCCCCAGCGATGCAGCGCCCACAATTTCTGAAGGCAAACTGTTCCACTGGTTAATTGTCCTCACTCTTAGGAAGTTCCTCCTTAATTCTAAAATTCCTTAACTCCTTCATTAAAAACATTAGTTTTATTGGATTGTTGAATGCTCCTGGCCAGAGGGGCAGCTTTATAAATCTGAGAAATAAGTAGATCAGTTTACCAATCTTAGTTATACCTGTGCTAATGCCAAGAACAACACTGGTCACCTATGGCAGGATTTTTGGCTGTTCTATTTATTATATTAGATTATATTTATTATATAAGTCTAGAGATTAGATTATTGCAAACCAAAATTTGGTTATTCACAGGAAGTACAGCTGATGCCCTAACACACTCTGGATAAACAGCATGCATGCACAAACACACAAAGGGTGAGAGAGAGAGAGATGTAATGATGTCAGAGGCAACTTGGGGAAAGGAGGGAGGGAGGAAGGAAGGAAGGAAAGGAAAGAAGGAAAAGAGGGAGGAAAGAAGGAAGGAAAAGAGGGAGGAAGAAAGGGAAAGAAGGGATGGTGGGAGGGAAAGAAGGGATGGTGGGAGGGAAAGGAGGGAGAGAAAGAAGGAGAGTGGAAGGAAAGGACAGAAGAATGGAAGTGCTGGATTGCTTATTTCAAATTAAGAGTATTTTGTTAACAGACCATTTATGAGCATATGAGGAATGGTTGAAGGAAGGAAAAGAAGGAAGAAAGAGGAGACAGGGAGGGAGGGAAGGAGGGAGGGAGGGAGGAAGGAAAAACGAGTGTCAATGAAGAAGCTATAATTCTGCTAACGTCCCATTTGCTTCCCAATTGGAGATAGCTCCCTCCTGCATTTTCCGAGAAGATCCTGAATCCAGCCTCAGCTTTTCGGCCTCCACCATGTCAGATCCAGAGGATGAGGATGGTGAGACTTGTTGGAACAACCTGGAAAGTTTCCGTGTGAAGCTGATTTCGGTGGTCGACCCTTCCAGAATAACGCCGTACCTCCGGCAGTGCCGAGTCATCAACCACGATGACGAGGAGCAGGTCCTGAATGATCCCAGCCTGGTACTCCGGAAAAGGAAAACAGGTACCCGATGATTTTCTGGATTTACAAGAAATCTGAGTTTACCATCTCAGGCAAGATGTCCCAAAGGTGCTTTTTTTCAGGAGGCAATTGGGCTTTCTGATTTTTCTTTGAAGATGTTTCACTTCTCATCCAAGAAGCTTCTTCAGCTCTCACAGGATAGTGGGGAATGGAAGGATTTATACTCCTTGCAGACAGCTGGTCATTTGCATCCTTTTAGAGGGTCGTCGAGGCCACTTGGAGGTTTATCTGTGTCCTCAGGGTCACCTGAGTGGTGCAAATGTTCCTGTAGTCTTCAGTTTTTCTCTCTGGAAATCCATTCCTACTCCCACCCCATTCTAAGGGTGTTCCTCCAAAATTGCATAGCTAAAAGTCTGTAGAGATTCTCCGTCCTCCAGGTCATGGTTGTCCCAAAGGTGCTTTTTTTCAAGAGGCAACTGGACTTTCTTGTTTTTTTCTTTTGAAGACATTTCGCTTCAATAATTACCGAATTACCGAAGATGTAATTACCGAACCGGTAGTAACACCAGTTGAATCCCACCCCTGGTTTGTAGGAGTAGGAATGGACTTCCAGAGGAAAAAAATTGCAGACTACGGGAACCAGGAGCACCACTCAGGTGAGCCTAAGGACATAGATAAACCTCCAGGTGGCCTCAACAACCCTCTAAAAGGATGCAAATGACCAGCTGTCTGCAAGGAGTATAAATCCTTCCATTTCCCAGTATCCAGTGAGAACTGAAGAAACTTCTTGAACAAGAAGCAAAATCTCTTCAAAGAAAAACCAGAAAGTCCACTTGCCTCTTGAAAAAAACACCTTTGGGACAACCAAGATCTGGATGACTGAGAATCTCCATAGACATCAAACAAGAAGCTCCCAGGATGGAGTTTTAGCTGACACCCTTTTTAAGAACCGGAAGCAAAAGGAGCGAGGCAATCTAATCTGACCTTCCATCCTTCTCTCTTCATGGGGAGAACCTGACAGGGACCAGAAAGTCTTCTGCCTCTTTTCCTTTTCATCCCGTCCCAAATTCTCCTCCTTAAAATTGACCTTGATCGCAATCCCCTTGGCTGAAACCTCTGGCCCATTCAGGAAGATTTCTTCCTGCCTTTGTATAGTTTCCTGAATATATGAAACCGTACATGAGAGCTGAATTGAGGGCTGAAACTTAAAGAGAGAATCTGGGCATAGTTTGTCTCTGTTCTGTGCTCAGCACAAAAGTGAAAGAGAAACTAACTTGCTTGCTTGCCTGCTGAACTAAAGAGAAACTGATGTCTGCTTCTGAGCTCCTGAGCTGCTGTTCTGCTCTGAACCTGTAACATGTCTGCTTCTATTTGAGTTTGCTCCATGTTGGAGAAATCCACAACTGGCATTGTAAAATTCACTTTATATGTTTATAAAGAAGTTAAATGAAGCATCAGCCATCTGTTTTTACTTTTCTGGCCCTGAATTTATGCTGCAATACTCTGAATAATATTAAAATGAGTCAAGCCAACAGCAGAAAGTATTTTCTGTTTGGTGTTAAAATCGTAAACTTCAGAGGGATGGCCTTGATGACGGATGCTTATCTCCGTTAACATCTGTTGCTAAAATTGGAAGTTTCGATGGCTGCAAAACCCTTGACTCCTCCTTTGTTCTGATCATTTTGAGTTTTGCATTTCAAAATGCAGAATTGCAATTAGGAGAGCTTTTTTTATCAGGTTGGCAGAAAGTAATAGTTGGTAATTTCACACTTTACTAGAAATTTGAAATTGACCCAAGATAAAGTTGTACTTCGTATCTGATAGGCTTCAGCTATGGAGAAATCTGTTTCTTGAGAATTGAGTGTAGCATCAAATCTCCTGCTTGGGGAGGGGGTTGGACTAGATGACCTACAGGGACCCTTCTATCTGTATTCTATTTAATTTTTGTTATTGTTATTATTATTATTTGTTATTTATTTATAACTGGGCTTCAGAGAGCCGGTCTGGAGCTTCTTCGTTATCTTTAGGCATTTAAAGAAAGGCAAAAGATTAGAAATGCAGGAACGATTTGGACCAATGAATCCAACCACCGGACCAGTCCAGAAGTTGAGATTTTAAAGAGTTTGTGGTCTGTCCATCTTTGCAGGGCTGCTCCTAGATCTCCTCCAGAGGACGGGCAAAAAGGGCTTTGTGGCTTTCCTGGAGAGCCTGGAGTTGTACTACCCGCATCTCTACAAGAAAATAACCGGCAACGACCCCACCCGAGTCTTCTCCATGATAATAGGTAATAGTTTGCTCTGGTAGCTCTCTTGAGGTCTTCTGGTGACATCGTAGTTCCATCTTTGGTCAGCTGAAGTCAATGTCAAGGTTCGGATTGATGGACCCAATCTAGCAAGCACAAAGGAGATGATCCAATCTCTTCATGCAAAACTTCATTGAGCACATCATTTTGGCACAGAATGAAAGCAAAACCCACATAGTTCAAGTTCAGGTTCTTCCTCCCCCTATGAGACCAAGTCACATTGTCCA